CTAAAAACAGTACGAAAACAAACCAAATCACAACGATAAAACAGACGATGAGTACTGCACGTTTACTAAACGATATGAACAATTCAACAGAAAAAAGACGACTGGGCAGTTACACTGGGCAGCTCTCACACCGGAGCAATAGGCAACGAGCAACTAGCAATTAACAATAATCAACAGACAATACGTATTACCCCTAGCTCTCAAATATAAGCAACGCAGTAGCAACCATGTCATCGTCTGATGAAGACGATATTTTATTATTCTGGTGGAATTTAAGAAGAAGAAAAATAAAAAATAAAAAACGTAAATATTGGATTAACCCAGCGTTTAAACAGCTTGCAAAATATGGTGCAAATGTCTATGCAGATGAACTTAAACTTCATCCACTGCAGTTCAAAAGCTGTTATAGAATGAGCCCAGATACATTTAAACAACTTTTGAATTTAATTGAACATAGTATTACAAAACGTGATACCAATTTCAGAGAAGCTATAAGTGCAGGAGAAAAAATATTAATAACACTCAGGTAATGTTAAATTTTAATATTTATTTTTATTTAAATAATATAACATACTATTCAGTAAATGTATGGAGGTAATTTTGTACTGTTGTCGGATTATTATTAATTCGTTCGTAGTCTTCTGACTGAAAATTTCCCAACTGTTGAAATCCGACCGTCCCCACGGGTGGCTCAGGACTCAGTGCTGAATATGAACTTCCGGAATAGCTGGATAAAGGTCGTTGAACATATGAAATAGTGTTCTGTGTTGGCGAATCGTCCAAAATTGAATCTATAGTATCAAGTGTTCTTCTCTTAAACTGTCTTTTTTGATAATCTGTCATTTTAGATATATCAGGTAATAAGCTTTTGAAAAAATCAAGATCGCTATTATTTTTGTTTGTCTGAGAATCTTTTTTTGAAGTAATATAATCAATGACGCACTTATCAACCTCATCCGTCGATGTTTTCATATTATATAATGCGCGTTTTTTTATAGTATTCGGAGCATTAAATTTATCTTGTGACACATCTAGATTCCTTTTTTTATAACTTTCTTTTGATGTAGATTGTGTTTCATCGTGTAAAGATACATCGCTATTGTCTTGATTAATATCTGTATCTACAATATCAGTGTCACTATTTTGCTCGTCCTTATCTTCGGTATCTTTTAAATTGCTACTTTGAGACTTAACCTTCATGAACGGAAGAATAAACTGCATGACATCTTTCAAATAATAGTCTTTAGATCTTTTGTTATTGGCAGCACTTCCTGACGGGGGTTTTTTCATGCTTCGTGCAAAAGCTGTTCTTAGATTTTTCCATTTCTCCTTGCATTGTACTTCTGTTAAAATATAATATAACATATTATAATTGTAATATTATCTTATTATTATTATTATTATCTTATACTGAAAAATTGTTACAGATATTTGGCTACAGGATGTAGTTTTGTTGCTTTGTCACATATATTCATGAGAGGGGACAATACGATAGGAATAATAGTGAAAGAGTGCAGTGAAGCTATCTGGCGAATTCTTCAACCTTTATATATGCCTGTTCCAAATGAAGAAACATGGAAATCGATAGCAAAACGATACTACGAATTATGGGACCTCCCCAATTGTATTGGTTCCGTAGATGGCAAGCATTGTCGTATAAAAAAATTTGACAAAACCGGTTCACTTCATTACAATTATAAAAGTTTTTTTTCCGTGGTGCTCATGGCATGCGCGGACGCCGATGGAATTTTTACAACCATTGATGTAGGAGAAGCAGGCAGGTTTAGTGATAGTGCCGTTTTTAGAGCTTCTAATCTTGGGAAACTATTAGATACAGATAAACTTCATATCCCAAAACCAACACCAATGCCTAATGATGCTTTTGATTTTCCTTTCTATATGGTAGGAGATGAAGCATTTCCTCTCAAAATAAATCTCATGCGGCCGTATCCTAAGCGAGTTCTCGATAATGAAAAACGGATATTCAACTATAGAATATCACGTGGACGAAAAAGCGTCGAATGCGCCTTTGGAATGTTGGCGTCAAAATTTGAAATATTTCAGAAACCAATAATGTGCCATGAAGATACTGCAATAAAAGTTATAAAAGCAGCATGTATTCTACACAATTTTATTAAAATGGTCGAGGGTCATTTTTCAGTTCCCCAAATCAGTAAAAATCAGGAAAATCAATGTAGAAATCGAGAAATGTCACAATCAACCAATAACCATTGTAGTAATAAATCTGCCCATGAATTAAGAGATTATTTGAAAAAGTATTTTTTGAAAACAGAAAATGCATTGCCTTGGCAAGAAAATTACACTTTATAAATTTATTAAATACTACTATAACTTTAAATAAAAATAAATAAAATATGTATACCTGATAATTTAAATTCTTTTCCAATTGCATTCCACGCCTTTTCAGTCGCGTTTCTTTTACTGTGATCATCCCGAGTGAAATCATAAATACATGGATACTGTTCGACGTATTCTACAAATTTTATGTTCAACGCGGATTCATCACACATTTTTAATTTAATTAATTAATTTTAATAAAAATTGAACATGAGGTAACACAAATTTACATATGTATAACAATATAATAAAAAAAAAACCATACGAATACGAAGCTCGTATTGCTCAACACTGTCAATAAATATCGACCGGCAACACGACAGCCGTATCACTGGCAACGCATGTTGCTACACGTTCGCAACAGGAAACATCGTGTTGCTTCGGTGTGAGAATATTC